AATACTCATAAAACATTTGTGTCAGATCAGTCAGACAGAGCGGTTTGAAGTCAACCCTACTTTGTTGTGTAAAGGTGAAGGAGTTAATTAGGTGATGAGGAGGTGACTGATGCTGTGTATACACAGCACACATGACAGGGAGAGAAGTCAAGTGGGCCGCTAATCATGCCCTCCACCCCCATTACTGCTGCATTCATCTCCAACCACATGCTTTTGAAGTCATGCTTGTCAGGAGCCTCATGACACACACACGCGCGCACACACACACAAACGTTTTTCATCTCACACAAACACACACTACGCTATTGGATTTTATTGAATAGGTAATCTTTGTGTTGTGGAGTTGATCACAGATGCAGTGCTGCCCGTCTGTGTTTGTTGTTTTTAAATCATTGGTCCACCAATGAGCTTTTGGTTGTGACTCATCTCTTTATATACAGGTTGTTTTTTGTTTTTTTTTGTTTTTCATCTCAGTCTAAATGTAACTTTTGCCCAAATAGCAACAAGAAGCAGACTCGTGTGTTAAAAACTCAAAGATAAAATTACTGTAAATATTCTACCATGACATTCATCCAAAGTTATCTCTGTCATACAGGTTTGGATCAGGACATGACAAATACAGTTATCAAATGTAAATATCTGATGCAGATGGACCTAAATGTACCTAATGTAGATGTGTATTGGCTTGGAATAAACTAATGACTGACTTAATTCAGTCTTAGAAACCCTAACTGTGGCTGGACTCTGAGTCACTATTCACAACTTCCTGAAAGAAGAGAGTGGTAGTTTGTTGTTTGGCCATGAGCAGCTCAAGCTAACCAAGTTAGCCAAAAAAAAATTTGCACTTTGGGATGTAAACAGAACATCTGCTGCTTTTTAAGACAGTAGTTTATATATATATATTTCTTATTTAAAACTGCTGGTGTCTGTAAAGTGCCTGGAGGACTTTGTGTTCTGTTCAAAATTTTGAAAGATCCGATCCAAGTTGATGCAAAACAAAATTTGAAAAAAATGACAATTCCACTTTGGATGGCTTTGGCTTAGTGTGTCTTTGCATGGACTCATCATGATTTAAGGTTTGTTTTTATTGGGTTGACTGATCCTCAAAATTTGGCATAGTGCTTAATAAAAAGTTGTTCTCAAGTTGTTCTGCTGTTCTCAATTGCTTTTGAACAAAAAAATTAAAAAGTTCAAAAATGATTTATGGTTCTGTATCATCTTAATCAGATCAGAAAAGTCCTTTATTAGACCCATAGTGATGATTTTCACAACTGCAGATGACATCATATATTATATATTATTATATATATATATTCCTTCCTTCCTTCCTTCCTTTTTTTTTCCTGCGTCTCATAAACCAAACTAGGTACAGCCATAGCCACTTTAAAAGTAAATACCACTGACCTTCTGTTGAATGCTAGCTTGTGTTAGCAGGGTCCCTGGTGTAAATGATACAGGGGTCGGAGAACCTTGTTTTTCCACCGTGTCTCCCAAAGCTCTTGTACTGTCTGCGTGGTTCCCCTGTCACCTCTGCAGCTCAGAAATAAAATAATCCTCAGATGAAGTGCAGAGTTCAGCAATTACACCCTGACAGCGTTACTTTAGCCTGATGGCAAGTGTTGTTTTATTCACCCTCTGCTCCTGGCCTTTCTTTTTTCTCTGCTGCAGTGAATGAGGGAATTCTTTACTTATTTCCATTAACTGCACTGCTGCTCAATCTTTGGTGCCTGGAGCATTACCGCTGTAGCTAGGATTGTCTTCTAGTAGTTCTGCTTCAGTGATCCTGGATGGAACATGGCACTTACATTAATGTAACCATGTAAATAGCTGTCTACATGAGGGGAAACAAGCCGGATAAAAAAAAACACTGCACATTTATTGCCCCTGTGACGGCGGGAATTACAACAGCCTTCATTGTTTTAGCCTTAAATGGCCAATTCTGTTACAGACTAATGTAATTATGTGGAGAACCCAAACAGAACATTAGATGGAGAGAACAAATCAAGGACGTATAAAACGCTGACAGGGGGTTTTCACCGAGCAGTAGAGTAGAGGGCGACGGTGAGTAAACCACAGGGAGGCATCCAGTGGTTTTACCATGGTTGGTGTTGTACACCAGTGACTTTTACCTTTTTTTTTTAATATAATTTTTTACGTAGCCTTTTAATACCCACACAGTGGAAGAGTTGTAAGTTGTGTTGCCTAACAGTTTGACCCCTAGTTTCGTATGCTTGTTCCCACATAGTTTTACGATACATTTGTTTTTTTAATTGTAATTTATTATAATATATTTGTATCACATATTTTTAATTATTTATTTTTAATGGAGTTAAATAATAAATGCAAGGTTATTAAAATAAATAAATTCAAATAAATTTGCACCAAATCTGCATTAAATTCTTTTGCCCATCTGAAACCAGGCTGCAATAGCTTCATGGTCACATAAAGGGGCCCACACCTCAGTCTGAGAACCACTGCCTTAAGCAGTGCAGTCGTCACTAAACGCCATAGAAAAGGCTGAGAGTGGAGGGTCCTGCTCTTCATTTCTGCTGCTACATTAGGTGTTTATTTTATGACGACTTACTTAAGGAGAACACACATTAAATTAACCCAGTCCATGCAGAGCTTTTCTCATGGTGTTCGTTGATGACTTGGAGAACATTACTTACTCAAACCTCCACTGGACAAATCCAAATTATAGACACACATAAAAGAGCCATTATAGAAAAAGTCATCACTGCGTTCTGTTCCCGTCACCGGCTGCAGCCTGGACCTCCATCCTGATGTGCTCAGTAATTCAAACCTCACTGCTGTTTTTGTTAGTGCAGAAGACAACAATTAGCAATAAGTAAAGCAGTGTTCTTAAAGTTGCAGTTGCAATTAATTTATGCCTACCACAAGGCTGCTGTTCCATCATAACCAAACAGGCCATGGTGGTGGTGTTTCTGCCAACACATTATGAAAGGGCAGGTTTTAATAACCTTAAAGGTGGACCACTTCACTCTGCATGTAACTGGCTAAAAAAGGTAAATAAAAGTTTTTAAAAATGGGGTACTGGCGTGGATTTCTCCAGCTAAATATAAATTTAAAGCTAAGTATAAATTACTAAAATTCACATCTGTGAAGTTGTTGGTCCTAGTATTGGTTGGTATTTAAAAACAAGTCACAGTCTTTTTGTTTTTGTTTTTTTTATAGGCTAACTCAAGCAAAAACAGTTAATTTACAATTTATTTTTTTATAGGTTAACTCAAGCAAAAACAGTTAATTTACAATTACATTTACATTTAACCTAACCTACTAACTATTACTATATTAAAAAAACTTTCCGTCACTTCAAAATGTGCCACAAAAGATGGTTAGATAAATACAGAAATGAATAACAGTTTAAATAAAACAATAAACAATAAATAAAATCACCTGAAAATCACTCAGAATTGATTGTGTTGATTCAGAGCTGCTGAATATGAAGATATGTTTACCTTTACAGAAAGAAACAACTAAATGTTAGCTAACCTGAGAACCAGCCCCACTCTCATATCAGTGATTGAAATTTTTTTATTGTGTTTCATGATAACTCATCCTCTCTGCTAAATGTCCTTAGGTTTAAACAATAACATTTCATGTGTGGCGAATGTGAGCGGTGACAAGAGGAGAAGACATTTCCATTATTATGCAACTTTTACAGCTTTCCTAAAGGGACTCTGTAACAATATTAATTTTCGGCGGCGCTTTCCATCATGATAATGAATGGCAGTAACTTATCCTGGGACATAAATCTGGCAAGCTCCAACAGCACTCTGACACAGCATTTAATTACAAGGCGTGTCTAATTGAAAGAGACCCCTGAAAATAGTGGAATGTCTCTTTGGCTGTAGCAGGGTTAAAAAACTTAATTAATTATGAGGCACCTCCCTTCCTCTTTATTCTGAGTCAGTGGCGGCTCTGCCTCAGTGAGCTGATGACATTTTCAGCCTCCCTTTCATCCTTCAGAGAAATGAATGGCCCGGCAAGAGCGTTATCAAATGAGCTGTAGAGGCAGCCAGTGAATATGTCATTGAGTGTGACTGCTCCCTGAGTGAATTGTGATTTATCTGTACGCCTCCAGGCTCGTGTAAACTCACTTGCTACCCCAAACCCTCCCACCCAGTAGTTGACAAGATCAGTAGATCATTTGTGGGATCTATAGGTGAAGTGAGAGCTAATGTAGCATGTACTTCCGTAGCCCCAGCTCCTTACTTCACCCACTTCGAGAGTACCCTTGTTTTTGACCCCAAATGCCCCCACCACCCACCCACCCCTACGGTATCATCATTACCTAACTATCACACACAAAGATAGGATTTATTCCTAGAAGGGTAGCGGAAGGCTCGGGGAAATATCCCTGACCAAGAACTTGGCTTATTACAAAACTCAGATGGAATGACACAAATTAAATTTCTCTGTTAATTTAGTCTGATGATTTTGGATAAACTACAGCATCGCAGATGAAAAGATCAAAGTTAGACAGAATGAAGAAAAATACAAACAAAAACACACCGTAACAGGTATTATTACAACTGTAGTATAAAGTACCCCAAAAAGTTTTGTTTTTGAGATTTTTTATTTTATACAATTTGATACGTTTTTTGGCAACATTTTAATCACAACCATGTTCATTCAAGAGACAAAAACACATTTGGCCATCAATATTTTAAAAACAGAACACTAGAGGCAGCTCCTCTGTCTGTATAGCAAATATGATAGACATGTTTGTTTTTAGGCTTAGGTATTTTTAACTGCATCCAACAGAAAGTTTTACTGTGTATTAACAGCACATAACTGACATGATTGTAGTCAGTACAAGATAAACAAGAGCTATTCCTTTTGTTTTTTAAGTTCATTAAACATTAGCAAGGTCATTATTCATTATTCAATACAGACATTGATATTCATTCTGCTCCAAATGATTATTGAAAATGTTTTTTTGTTTTATGACATCTCATTTTCATCTCACATTTCAGAAATGACGATGGTTACAGAGCCAACATCATGATAGTCCACATCTCCTCAGACTAACCTCCATCAGGAGGCCACAGCCGTCCATGTCTCGCTGTTCCACAATAGTCTTCAGACTTCCGTTTGAGCTCCATCTCTGTCGTGGCTAAGTGTCATGTGAAGAGACAGGTAATTTCCATTTTTGATGAAGCTTTCCTGCATTTTTTATTTGTCTGTGAAATTAAAGACTTACTTAATCATTGTGGATGGTAGCGGGACTAAGCAGATGTGCTCATGTGTTCCTGATTGCATTAGAACCGATGTGGCGTGGCGTGATGGATATTTAATAGCGGTGCTGTCCCCCTGTATCACGTCACAGAGTCTGACACACACACACACACACACACACGGAGGCAGTACAGTTCATACAGACGTGCTTTAATTATTAGCCCCATAATGTGAACTTTTCATGAGAGTAGAGGTAGAGAGAGTAGAAAGTACACACAGTAGCAGCACCAGGACACGCATGGACTCAGAGATGGTTACCGAAGGTTCAGAATGAGTTAAACAGACATCTGATGATGATCAGACATTTGATGATGTGGTATCAAACTGACATGTCATGTCCGATTTGTCTGCGCCGCTTTCTTCTCCACACGCCTCATGGTCGGGCCCTAATTGCTGTGTGTATAACTCCAGAGTGTGTGAAGAGCCCAGGGCAGCCCTGTAGTGCCCCAGGCAGTGTGCTGATCAGACCTCTCCCTCTGCTGGGCTAAACCGTCATCTTCTACAGCAATGGGGTTTTTTTTATGTGTGTGTTTTCCCCCATATTGCAGCATAAAACCGACTCTATTAAATAAAAAAGATCAAATGTTGGCCCAGCCAATATGAAGAAGTCCAAAGAAACAGAACATTTGTGCACCGGAGTTAAATTCACCGCTAAGTTTGTTCCTGATAATACAGAGCTGTAATGAAGAGACCAGAAATGGAAATAAAGAGGAAAGATGAGAGCAGAGGCCAGCAGAGAGTGATTATGGGAGAGAGAACAGCCACTCTTATGTTGGCACCTCCAGCGTGCGGGCCATCTGCAAAGAAGGCCTGGAAGGGAGCATGACAATGCTAATCACTGCCATGGAGGCCTGACTGGTGGAGATGAATGGCCATCGCTGCCTCTGAACACACTTAGTGGCGCTCATCACACAATGTTTTTGTCTCGGCGTGCCAGGTCCACAAGCCTCCGCCGGCCCCGCCCTTTTCCTGTACACACTCTATCACTCAGTGGAGACATGTGTATGGCTTCCTGTCAATTCAGGAAGTCTTGGTTCATGTCCCAGCCACATTAATGGACCAAGCACTTTCGCTAAGTAATTTCCTATTTCCCTATTGAAGCAATTGTTTTTGGCCATTCTCATTCATCACCCCCCAACCCAACTCCCTAAAATGAGATCATTATCTGGTCTTGTTTCCGTATGACTGGCCTCCTCTCCGTCTCCTCTCCTCCAGTTGATTCTTAATACCAAAAATCCACAATTTTATCTTTTGCAAATTTGGTTTTCTTCTGGTCAGTGTCTATGAGAGAATAATCTGAGGGGTTGACACAAACTTTGTTTTCCTGGATGCTCAACGCTTGTCACAAAGAGCCAGTGTGCTGAAGTGTAGCCTGAGGTCAAATCAAATCATTAGAGCAAGTGAAAATGTCTTGAGGACAAACTTGATTTAAAGACGCATGTATTTCCATGACTGATCAATCAGATCACACACAGAACCGTCTGGTTAAAACCATAGTTCTAGAGGGTGTTTACTTGAGACCATAAGACTGGGCTCAGACCGTGTCAGTGTTTGGAGTTTTCTGAATGGAAGTCACACAGTCTCAACTTTTGTTTCTAATGGTTTCCAGCTGTATTGCGGCTCATTGTCATCTTCTGGGGAGTTTGTTTTTGCGGGGGTCTCCCAGTAAGAGACTGTGATGAGGAGCAGCTGCTTGGCAGCCTGCTTCACATTGACCCTTCAGTTATTGATAACCAGTGAACGTCTGTGTTCTTTGATAAGAAAAAAAAGAACCATTTCATGTCATATTAAAGTCTGTGGTCTGGCACCGACTGCAGCAGCTGCACAACACAGAGTCATGGAGATGTGGAGAAATGTTAGATGTTGTTAGATTGTTGGTCCATGTCGGGCTTATGAGGTGAATATTAATCATCTCTATACCTCTGCTTTGTACTTTGAAAATCTTAAGATTTAAGTAGAAACTTCAATTTTTTAGTACAATTTTTTTATAGTACTGTTTTTCATTCTTAAAATGTGACTTTGATGGTTAAAGAATGATAAAACTAAATGAACTAAGTGACCACCGTCATGTTGGAGCCACATGTTTGACATCATCGGACAGCAGACAAACAAAATATAATTTCTCCCTCTGAAATATCGAAGAGCTTTTTTTGATCTGCGATAAAACATATTTTGTTTTGTTTTTTTTAATCAATATTGTCAGGTTGGTTGGTCCATAAAAATCAAAAGCATTGTCCGTGTTTTCATTTTTCTCTAGAGAAATAATTTGACTTTAACCTCGTTTGTGAGACTTGTACATCATGAGTCAATAAGGGAGAGAGAGCAGCCACTGCTGGACATCTGAGGAATTGTTCTCGAAAGACTTTTACTGTATTTTTATTATTATTATTATTATTATTATTATTATTATTATTATTATTATTATTATTATTATTATTATATTAAATTTATATATTTTTTTAACTCTTTTTCTGAAGGTTTGCGCTGCCCCAGCTCAGCGTTAATATTGGACCCAATGGGAGAGCACTTCATTATCATGCGCTCTTGCTTTTCAAAATCCAATCCCAAGTAGGAAATAAAAGCCCGGACAACTGCATTACTGTCCAGCCTGTCAGCTTTGTTAAATATAAGCTCCATCCTGGCTGCCAGAGCTTTAAAAGCTGAGCTGGCAGAGCGCAGGACTGGAAGTGACAAAAGCAAGAAAAAAAAATCTGCAGCTGCAAATTCAGCAGAGGAAAATGAACACTTAAAATGCATTTTTATACAGTTGCAAGAAGTGAATTCTGTTCTCTGTGAGCGAGATTTCAGAAGAGTCCTGGGATACAATCAGCCATTCTGAAGTTTTGGCCCATCAGTACAATGAGAGGCAAGTCCACATACAGCAGAGAGCAATAACATTCATGTTGCCTCAAGTATTGAGTAAAATATGAAATAGCAGGTAAATAATTCATTTTATTTTTTGCAAAATAATAAACTTTGACATGAAAAAAGTCACACATGAATCATTTGATGTGATATAATACAAAACAAATGTCAACATTGGTAACATCATTGCTAAACTTTTTTGTTGTTCTTGTTGTTGTAAATGTGATTGCTCCTCCGTGCTCCTCAGTTTAGTACTGGGTTTACTGAGATACGACTTCAGTCTTCTTCTTCTTCTTCTTTTTCTTCTTCCTCTGAGGACATTGTCCTTTTATGTGCTCCTGATATTCTCTCCCCCTGATTGGCTCTCAGCAGATGGTGGTTCTTATCTTCACTGAGGGAGAATCCCTTTAGTGGTAGACATGTATCTGTGTGTGTTTCATGTCATTATGACAACCTGAGCGATCACATATGAAACATCTATAGATTCAATCAAAGTCCATCTTTAGGTGATGCTGCACCACATCAATGCATTTAGACGTATTTCTTCCATATTCACTGACTTGCTTGATAGACACACAGTATGGCAGAGAATACTGTTTAAGCAGAGGCGCCCACTGGGAACACAGCCTACTTTGTACCTATGCTACACTGGGGCGCATAAATAAACAAGTGAACTGGCTTCAACTGTATAATTGGAACACAATGATATTCCCTCATTGGTCAGATTCTCTGTAGGATTGACCAATCCATACTCATGGATATGGACTTGTTTTGATCTCCTGAATAGAAATCCACAGAGAACAGTGTTGTTTCAGCGTGAAGGAGTATGGAGGCAGAGAAGAAAAAAAACAAACACTTAATTGTATTCATTCTTACACCTGTAAAAGTCAAAGTAACATTTTCTTATATTTACAGCTTAATCAATAACTTGGCTAAAAGCTTGAGCTTCATGATCCCAAACTGTGAATTCTGCCAACACACAAAACTGAGGATTGGTTTTAATCTCCTGACACTGCAAAAACAAAATTAAAAATAAAGGGATTTGAAGGAGATAAGATACAGTAAAGATGAACAAATTAAAAAAAAAAGTTGATTTTAAGAAATAAGTAAAAGTGTTTTTAAATATTAATTTACATTTTCTTGTATAGATTTCTATATGTTTTCCTCCTCTAATTAGTTGGCCTAAAAGGAAGCGTAGAATAAAAAATATCATAAATCTTTGGTAATGTTACATTTGAAAACACTGTTGGATTGATCTAGAGAAATCTTAGCCACCAAAATGCAGAGTTACCATTACATTTCCGAAACAAAAAAAAGTTATATATATATATAAAATATATAATATAATATATAGTATATATACAATACTATGTATATATTTTTTTGTTAAGTAGTTTTGGAAATGTAATGGTAACTCTGTAGTACAAGAGTAAGACAAAAGACAAATGAAGATTTTGATGCAGCAAAATTAAAAAAAGAATTCTAAAACAGTTCTACTTTGAATTAACACTTGTATTCTGTTACATGAATCTGTGCAGTTTACTGTATATTTGTCTAATTAATAACACATGAGTGATTGTGAAGCCGGGCCTTCTGCAAAAACAGATAAAAGTTTATAGAAAGAGTTTAAACTTTGGGAGAAAAAAAAACTGATCTGAATGTTCAGTTAAATATGGAGTCATTTTTCTCTCTCTTTTTTAATGTTGCTGCTACACTTGCATCGCTTCATATGAATCATTACCAGTGCAGCAGCACAAAAAAGCATGAGCAGAAGCGTCCAGCTACAATGTGGTAAAAGATGAGGAACTCGCCAGTTTTCCAGCCATTTACTCCAAACCTTTGCTGAAAAGTGCTCCACATTGAGCCATCAAATGATCGAGGTGAAAATATTTGCTTTTATCACCCATCTATTTGAACGCCGGCCACATCCCTGGCAAAGTAAAATGCTCAGTGTCTAGTGTAGCCATCACATTCTCTTGCTGTGCATGTCATCGTTTCCAAATAATTTACCAGCTGCAATTAGCTGGTTCCAGTTG